TACAGTTGGAAAGAAGAAAAATAGAGTTTAGGTTGTGAATATAGGTTAGTGTTTCTGATCAATTTTAGGCCAGCAGTGAAGGCTTTGAAGGCCCTCCCAGCCCACCGCTGGAGGACTGGGGCTGAAGATGACTGATCCAGATGCACAAAGCTGTCAGGCAAGAGATTGCAGCAGCGATTTAAGCCAATGTTGACTCAAAGGGGTTAAATACAAATGGACAAACCTCTTTTACAGTATGGTTTTCACTTCACAAATAAAACATGCTATAACCTTGTGTAACTTATAGCATTCCTTTAAAATACCTCCAAGTGTCTGGGTATTAAATCTGTGCAAGGTTCTGTATAAGCTATATTTTGTAATGTTTAAAACACGGTGTTAACCTACGAACACTACCACAATCCCCGACTGTATTAACTTTCCATCCCCTGAATAATAAACAAACACAACAGTAAGTGCAACAGCAGGAACACACAAAAGAGGATTTTAACCAACAAGCTGCACTGATGAAACGTCTGTATCTGTAGTGTTTTAATCTCAAACAGGGCTTTGAAATGCATGCTATGAACATCTGACACTCACTTGTCCAGGGGGTTAGTGCGGGTTTCGTAGCTCTTCATGACACGCAGCACTTGAACATCCTGGGAGAGGAAGCAGGGAGGGATCAGGCCGTGGATGCCCAGCTGTAACCTCTCCTCCAGGGTGAACGCCATTCCCTGAAGGATAAAGCCTCAATTATAAAACACTGAAATTCCTACAAGAATTAGTGCAGGGAAAATGATTTAAAGCATATATGAAGGCAGAAAATCTAGACCACAATGATTCAAACGTCTGTCATGAACCTAGAGGGAAATTATGACTCATGTTTTTTGCGATTGCTTCGGATTGTGCATTTCTACTCCACGAAAATTTAAAGAGGCAAAAGGGAAGAAAAAGGGGTTTGAAAGTGGAAAGCAGGTGCTATTGTTGTTGTAATCTTAAAATTGCATTGCAACCTCCAGTTAACTCATATATATATATATATAGATATATATATATATATATCTATATATATATATATCTATATATATAGATCAATACCAATTTATGAGCAAGTTAGGCAACTTAGATAAAGAAATAAAAATAAAAAAAGTTTACTCCTTTAACTGCTGGCTTTAGTTACTATATATATTTATTTTCCACTGACCCTGTATTGGCAGGGGGTGTGAGGCTTGATCTATTTATTCCGTCCAATGAAGCTAGCCCCTGCTCCCACTCCCCTTTAAAGTCCTCTGCTTTTTCTTTCGTTGACGTCTTTGCTCTGACGCTCTCCCCATTTACTCCACTGACCCACATGAGGACAAAACACTTAATCCACTCCAACTTTGCTCTATTCTGCATCTGGATGCCAACTATTTTGTAATCCGATTCAACAGCAGACAGAGAGAAATTGTTCGGGAGGGAGACTTCACAGGGATATCGCATGAATGAAGAAACCTTTACCTCCGTCACTAAGTGTATTTACAGCAGTGTCAATGAAGCTAAATATCACGTTAGCAGCTTTAAGCTAGACATTATAGTCACTTATTGTAAAGCAGCCATTAAAGGTTACACTCATTACCACACACAAAGATTCAGCCTATATTCAAATACTTTTCAAAGTAGCCATACCTCTTGAAGGTTTTCACATTTCTACCACTAACTTTAATATATTTTATTTTGATGTGATGGTTTAAAACAAAGAAACAATATTGTCTGTCCAATGAACAGTTGAATTTAGGTCAATTTTGAACACATGAATATGCTTTCAGAGACACCCTTCTACAGTAGCTCTTGCTGTATATGTCCAAAGTCTAAGTCGCCTTTCTAAGATGTTTGCTTCCCGGATCCCTCTGCATTTCTCTCCTTTCATATTCCATTTAATTCTGGCTAATTTTCTTATCACAGCTAAAGGAGCATCTCCCTACAACATGATGCTACCACACCATGTTTCACCATGAAGAGGATGAGTTTAGGTGCAGTATTTATCTTCTACTACAATTTTTTGTGTGTGTGTGTGTGTGTGTGTGTGTGTGTGTGTGCACCTTTGTGCCGTTTCTGCTTTCTCTTTTGCATCAGCTTTTTATTCAGAAATCCAGGAAAACATTAACAGTTGATAACAAACAGAGGGAGCAATAAATGTAGCTATTTGAAGGCATGGCTGCTAAATGCAAGAACCGATATGTCAGGGTCGTCACCAGCATATTTTTAGCTTAACGGCCCGTTATGCTCACGAAAAAACTCATAATTATTCTGAAAATCAGGACAATATGCTTGTTTTTTTTTAAGACAGGAGCTGGTTACACTAAAACCCTTCAAACTATTAGTTTGAGAAAAAGAGCGTAAAATTCCACTATTTCACATTTTTTTAACCATGCCATTTTAGAGTTCTGTACAGCACTCGTTGTACTTTTAGGCTCCTTTCCAAAAAAAAAAACATTTTTAACTGATATTACCGATGGTAGTGTTTGTATTTGTTAATGACGATTGAGTTGACACACTTTATTATAAAAGAGTAATGTGCAGTAAAGCACAGTTTAAGGACAATTATTAGGTCTAACTCTTATGGAAAAAAAGGAACTGAGTAGTTTTAGCCTAATAACTCTTAAATGGAGTGTTCCACTTTCCCATGTATGTTGTTTTGCAAAATGATTCATGCACCTTGAACTTATCCTACTGCACTTGTTACAAACTGAAACTGCCTGTACTTTGCAATTGTTAAATAAAAGGAAAATTACACACATGGTTTAGGTGTGGACTTTAACTAGGTATTGTAATGTACTGTAATGTCTTGTAATCTGAACCATCCCATTGTTGCTGTGGCTGTACATTTAAGGTCACAGGCGTGGTTAGACTAAAACCCTTAGAATTACAATGGAAATATGCCGATACCCTGCCTTCTAAGGAGAACAGAAATTGTGTTTTTTAACACATCAACCTTCTTATTTGCACACATATATATATATACACATAAGAAAAGCACTGTGAAAACGTAAACCCCCATTAAAACAAACATCGGCCCCCTGAAGCAGCAAGGAGCATTTACGGGAAAAAAAGAACAAAAAAATAATTGTGCCCCACTCGTAAAAAAAAAAAAATCCTGTGAGAACCCTGTATGCATCAGTGATAAAAAATAAAATAAAAAAAAAGACGCAAATATTGGCCAAAATGTTCAGTCTGTCTGTAATTCCAAAGCTTATAAACTTGCATTTAATATGCCAATGTAATATATAACCAGTCAGACAGAGGCTCTCCACAGCAGAGGCTCACATCTGACATAACCGACATACAACAAAAGGGAAAGGAAAGGGGACTGAAAAGGGGGTTCTCAGGTGATATAATCTAGCTATAAACTAAAGCTTGATTATAATCTCAATCACAAGATTTTCAAATATTGGACTCTACTGTTAGTCTTGGTGAACAGCCATGTCTCCATAGGACAGCAGTTGTTCTGAACTCTTTTAATCAGTGCTGAATTAACTGTTTTTTCTGACATGCTCTTTGAACTCTATCCTGCAGTTTATGACCTGTCAGGTGTGCTCCTTGGCATTCACTATGCTGATTGTCTGAACACAAACCTCTGGTGCCTTTGTTCCACATCTCTACTTATACCAACATTAAACTACACTAATACACATCTATTTACAATTATCTTCTAAAGGCAAATAATTGCAGTGGATTTTATTTAGAGGTACTAGACTAAACGAGGCTAAAAACAAAAACTAAACATACTTTGAAAAAAAATTACAGAAGTGAAAATGGTGTGAAATGTTATCAGAATCAGAATCGGGTTTATTGCCATTGTTAGTGAAGGAGTTCACAACTAGGAATTTTTTATGGTACAATCGTGCAACATGAAACATATAATATGAAATATATAAATATATAAAAACCTTTAGCCACACCTCGTCACTTCTAAACTGTTATATGGTTTTACAGCCCTTTACAGTGAAGAGGAGGAGGATGTATCTGGACATCTTTGAAATTACTGGAACTGATTTGTTTGCAGAAAGTAGTACACGTTAGTCCCGCTTCATTCACTGAATAAAACCAGAGAGCTTAGTGTAGCTGCTGGAGTGCTTCATTTTATAAGAGCATTGCACATGACTGGGAAACAAAAGATTTTTTTTTCCCTTTGTGGAAGTAGAACTATTTCCTGACTGTTTGCACTTAAATGAACCTGTGAGTCAGGATGTGACTGCTGAGTCGGCATGGAAAGTAGAGAGAACTAAGCCTGACCTCTGAACATCTAGAATCTAAGCCATAAACTTGTTTTGGTCCTCAGTAGCGTTCCTGCTGTCCTCACAGGCCGAAACCACAGAGGAAAAAGTACAGACACATCAATATCATCAAGTATGGTGGCGGGGAAATAATCCAGGAACATGACAAGAAGTTTGAAAAATGTTTTTTTTTTTTTGAATTTTCCTCCAAGTAGAACAAAAGAATAGAAAGGCTCTTTGTGTGTTTAGAAATTATCAGACTGTAAAACTGTTAAATACTAACATCATTGCCCCATAGATCCAAAAGTTCTGCCATTCTACTCCTTGTTTATATATTCCACCATGACATTATGTTGGCTGTACACACAATCAACTTATCCAGTAAAACCTTAGCTTCTGAGCATCTGTATGCTTACAATTATATATACACTAAATGAAATTTCGTTTTGTATACATAAAAGTTGTTTAAGACTAAGCCTAAATTTTACATTTTTTTCTCAAATACAGCTGAAGAAATGTCACATTTGATACCATAGTCCCCACTGGGAATCTGATCTGGCACTATAATTACTATGAGGAACCCCCATTTTATTTATTACAATACAAAAGATGTTTTTCATTTCCAATAATAACAAACTTCATCAGTATGACATCAATGAGTGCCACTACACATCAGATCAGGGTTTATACAGGAATAAGTCACTCTAAT